TACGTTGAAATTTAAAAAGTAGCACAATTAAGAAGCTATGATATCAAAATCCGAAGAAATATCGACATAATCTCCCAAAATAAAATCTTACCAAAATATTGGAATTGTCTCGTTGTATTTGTAATCGAGTGGTAATATTGATGAAAAGAATGCCAGATTCAAGTAAATAATTACTCCAATACTCCTTAGTAGATTTTCACCTGAATTAAGTAAATTTTACTTAGACCAAAGTCAATACATACATACATGTTACTTGAATGTAGAAAAAGTGCCATATTTAAGTAACATTTACTTAATTCAAGTAAAAATTCATTTAGGTTTAAGATGAACGTCCCAATTATTGGCAAAGTAACCTCATTTTGAAAATAAATTGATAAATTATTGCAATAATATACGATTTTCCGAATTTTGAGACTTCGATTTTTCGGAACGATGAATGAATGTCCACCTCATTTTTCCCATATGTTAAATTTGTCATATTAAACATAAAATCTGCGGATGTGTTTTCTCATGACAGGCCCAAGAAAGATAAGAGTAGAACTTTCGATCTTTAAATCTCTAAAAAGAATTCGACGACGCTCGTCGTTGAACAAACGATGAAAGGGATTTACGGAGGCTCTCCGCGCTCCCTAAAATTCGACGAGCAGAGGGAAACGGAGGAGACAAGAAGCGAAAGCGGAGTGATCCCTGCGGTCAGGAGCCGCTCGAACGTCACGGGCTGAGCCATGGACAAGGGTGGTGCACGCAGACCGCGTGTGCGCGTAACAATAGTTTAATATTCATATTGTCACGTCCGAGTCAAAGGAGCGACGATGGGCACGACCGCGCTCCTAATTCATCGGACAAAAATCCGCTCCCTTTCAGGGGCGCGTCGCTCGCTGATGAATTCACTCGGAGTCGTTGACGCGAGAACATCGCTGCACCACTCACGACTCGGATTCGTAATTAAACTTAGCCCTCCTCGCGGCGCGTCTCGTGCTCTCGCGTCTGTGTTCCTCGGCCGACTCAAAGCTGATTCGACGTTGATAAAAATTCGTCGAGGCATCGATTAGCGGGGGTGGGGATGAACGATTGAAGCGTTCAAGTGGTTTCGGCGAAAATTAAATTTCCGGGCCCCCGGGAGGGAAAATAGCGCAAAACTACCCGTTTGTTTTCGCAATTGGCTGACGTTTATCTCGACGGAATCTTAGCATTTGTAATCTGGTTATACGACGATATTTTACGGTGAATTCTTTTGAGAAGTACGCGCAATTTTAATTGCCTGCCCGCTTAGTGAGCAGAACTGAAGTTCGAGAATATCGATGATCAAAAATTAAGATAAAGATATTTATTTAAGTCATGACAAGAAGCAAACAGCACTGTTAACTATTAATAAATACACTAGGAGAAAAAATTAAAAAAATTAAAAAAATATTTATTCGATACTAATAACATATTTACTTTCGCATTTTGTTATATACCAAATTTTACAGAAGTTATTATCAATCAAGCAACGCACTACGGTGGATAATAATCGGAAACACGAGGCTCATTTTATAGCGATGAAATCGCAATCTCATTGTAACGAGTTCTTCTCGTGACAAAATATCTTCTCTCGAATAAACAAAGATTCATTTCGCGAGACATTACGCGAACTTATCATAGAGCAATACGTTATCTATATCTCTATACGGTTTCTCCGGTCTCTCTCCTCCCCGTGTTCTCCCCGTCAGTACTCCCGCCGTATCGAGATCTCGCCGGAGAGCCTTAGGGATGTTAATTCGCGGAAGCGGGAACGGGATATCAGAGCAGAGGCTTCTATCAATAACTTGTCAAGTTCTCCTCGATAAAACTTCCGTTGACGGAGAAAAGGGCGACACGTCGTCGATACCCAGCGAATCGCGGGAGTTGAGAGCGGTGTCGCAACGAAAAGAGTAGACGCTTTAACTTGGTAATTTTGGGAGAAAGAATTTTTATATGACGTCGCAAGAAAATCCCGCTGAATTCCAATTTATATTTAATTATTGTTTCGAAAAACAATAAGAGACCCTCGTACTTCGCATAAAATGCAATTATTAGAGGGGAAGCACCGAAACCTGACATAGGTGCGATAAGCCGACATACCGATGGATCTTGTTGTAAAGTACACAGTAAAAATTTTGCGTTAAATTTAACACATCTCACACGACCTAAACGGTCCGCACAAATTTTATATATGTTGAAAAGCAACACAAATAATTTCTAGAAATTTCAATCTACGAACATCTTAAAAAATAGTTATTTGCAAGGAAATATGTAATAATTTTCATAAAGCTATCATATATTTTGGTAGAGAAGTATTGCTGATTTGCACTAAATTTGGTTCTTACGACAGAAATTCCAAAGTTTAATCAGAAATCTTGTTTTCTTTAACTAAAACGTGTGTTAGTTGTCCATCTATAGATTGATCTAATCAAACTGGTTTTTCAGTCTAACACGCATAAATTTTAATTTTACACTTCCAACAAGGTTTCAGAGCTCAAAACTTAAGTGATTGGTTTTGATGCTTTTCCTCTACATTATTATAATACATACTTGACATCAAAAAGTATGTAATTCTCAATTTTTCATTCGTTTCAACAATCTTATTTAAACGTTTTCGAAGTGGCATAGATTGACGAACAATCAAGTATACTCGAATCAATTGTACTTGATCTCATCTCGTCGATCTCAAGTTTCCCGATTTATCCTGTTTATCATTCACAGGATGCGTCTCACGGCCCATCCGCTATTTATTGCACTCTTGCCTCTCACCCCTCGCTTCCTTCCGGCGCCGCTCACCCCTCCAGGGATGAAATCGCAACGAGAGGCGGCCCTTCTAAGGACACCCACGATTGGACGCCGAAGGGATGTGCCGGCCTCTCGGTAATAATCCTCGCGGTGTCCTTGGCCGCTCCATCGTTGGCATTTAATGAGGGATGGAATAAACGGAGCGGGAAGGGGCGTCCGGAGGTGGTTTAGGCGCACATCGCGCGGAGACATTTTATTTGTCTAATTGCAAGACACGATAACGTCGAATGCAAAAAACATGCGTTCCTGCGATCTTGAGAAAAAAAGAAAAAAAAAACAGAAAATCTATCGAGACGATCGTTCGCAACTCGCTCACGCTTAATTAATAAAAATACAACACGCTCGATACCTTACTTTTATCTTTAGCATATTTAATCAGCTGGTAGACTCTCCACTTATAATCGAATCCGTTAAAATTAATGTTCCTCTTAAACTTTTGAGTCAATGCAATGGCTCCTATTCTACTTATTTCGCAACCTCGAACCTCATATGCCGAGCTCTCACACCGGTAGACTGTAAATGATATTGAACTCCAGTCTTCTAATTATTTGAATTTTTTCACAAATCACCGACAACTTTCCAAAACTCTCCGTTATACACAATTTTATATATTATAGTATATTTTATATGATATAAAATTAGTTGTGCCGTATAAATCCCTGTGTTTTTCATCTTGTGATTTTTCTTCTCCTTCGCTTAATTTATTAATTCATATTATATACAGTCAATAGTAGAATGTTGCGCTATTCACGCCTATCCGTCTATAATCTCTCTTTACACAATCTCTCACACAAAAGTGTCCTCCTATTATATATAGATTACTACAATTATGATTACGATACCGCGGGAGTACAGTATCGATATCGGAAAGACACACGTCCCGCTCGCGCAACACGGAACACCTGTGTCCGCCGCGCGCTCAACGAATCGCGACGCCCCCGAATCTTCGCGTCGTCATTTCGTTACCTTCGAAATATTAATCTCGGGCGCTTCTGGCGAACACACGTGCGCACCAGCAATCTGTACGAGGAGGAGAACGACGACGACGACGATGACGACGACCACGACAACGACGACTACTGCGAGGAGGTGGAGGGGAGGTGGCGGGAGGAAGAGGCACGAAACGAACATTGTGCGCACGCCATAACAGCGTAGCAATAACAGCGTTCCATTATATGTAGCTACACCGCGGGCGGCGAGATTGCAAAACATGCCTAGATTAATGTTTTCTCATCCCGCGGCTTTGTTGTGCCACGCGGGGGCGAGAGCGGGCAAGGGAGAAGGGCGCGCCGAGGGTGGACGGAGAAGGGTGGCGGCGCACCCTCCCGCCGCGGAGCCGAGCCGCGCTCTCTGCCGTTCCCCCCGCCGTCCTGCGCTCTCTCTCTCTCTCTCTCTCTCTTTCTCTCTCTGCCTCTCATCCACCCCCTGCGTCTATATACAATCGCGTCATGCGACAATGAACAGTACGAATTACGTTGCATTCTCTTTTGCGGCTCTCTCTCTCTCTCTCTCTCTCTTCGATCGGGCTTTCGCCGCGCGTCATTGTTCGTGTCGCCAGAAAGGAGGCACCAGCGTGAGATTGCGAGGACTCGGCGAAAATAGGTAAATTAGAAGGTACTGACGAAGAAGGAATTATACGTTGCGAGTTATGCATATCGTAGAGTGAAAGGAAAAATATGGAACGGGATGTACCGTCCTTCTCGTTAGGGAGACTCTTCGGTCCGTTATCGTTATCCTTGCTGCGGGAAAGGGAGGTACGAGCAGAGATTAAAGATACCCGAGACACTTAAAAGAATAACATCCGAGACTTGATCTCTCGTATTTCGAATTGACACGATGACGCGCACACTCGAAAGATCGTATTACGCGCGCAGGAATTTTCGGCTCGTTCAGCTTTTACTTCGCTTGACGCGTAATCTTGCGTCTCTCATTACTTTCGCGACTTTCCGAATAATACGATGTGTACAATACGACTGCAATGCGGAGAATTTCCGATTAGAAGAGTTAGAGAAATGTCAAACTAGAAAGATTAAGTTACCGATATTTGGCGGAAAGTAAAGAATCAAGGAAGAGAACAGGAGCGAGAATATATATAGCGATCGATTGAAAATAGTAATAGTTAAATTTTATTCGATGTTACATATCACAAATTCAATATTCATATGAATTCATCATTCAAATTCAATATTCATATGAATTTTTTTTTTTCATATTTATATTCATATCACTCATATTCATGTCATTTATATTCCTGTGCGCGTGTTTGTGTCATATATTAAACTTCAAGATCTTCAAACTTACTTAGGAAATATTTCACGATGTTTCGCCAGTTAAATTAAAAACTTCTTAATTATATTCTCAGTAAACCAGGCGTTCGTAAACTGCAAGTGTTCACCTGGTGTGGAAAGGTAATGAATTTTGCCGGCCTTATCCATCTTGTGCAATCCAAGTCGGTCCTGCGAATAATGAAGTAACAATATATACGTTAAGCTACAAACAGCATGTCGAAAGTTTCTAAATCGATTGCTCGGTTCCTCACGTCTCTGTACAATTCGCTCTCCTGCAGAGTCTGTATCGTCTTTGTTTGACCAGGCTTGTAGAATCCGAACCACTCCGTTTCCACCGGTTGCACCATTGTGTCGTTCTCGAATTTCACGAGAACTAAATTTTGCAGCTTCTGAAGATTATCCTTATATGTCTGTCAATAATTAACATAAAAGAATAATTAACATTTTAATTATTTAATAATTTCCACACTTTTTTTTCTACGTGTACTGCTAATGAGCACGATGTGATACAACTGATGATGCTTTTGCACATTATCATATTTTAGCAATCTAAAATTATAGTTCGTGATTGCATACCTTATTGGTTACTTTTTCGTTATTGATATCAGCGAGAAAGATACTTTTCTCCACATATTCATCTATGTTCAGGGGATCATGCCAGTAGGAAGCTTGCACTACCGACCGTTGAACAAACCTAAAGAAACACTGGACATGTGACACTTGATAATATAAAACGGTAAAAACAAATTACTGACTATATACAATATGTACCGTAAATATGCGCCATAATGGAGCAAACGCCGTATATATTGGCATAAATGAGATGTGCCTGAACACTTCGGCAAGCCGTAAACACCTTGATGTTGACCACCCAAAGATATCAAATTTCGCATCGGTGGGTCGGGACATCTTTGAGCTATTGCTCTCCTACAATAGAGAATAGCGAAAGATTGTAATATACAAGGTTAGTTAATAAGAATGTAACACACAGATTAAAATTATAAGTCGCAACAGACTGGCTGACTCACAGAAATTGAGCTCCCTGAGAGAAGCCAATAGCATTGTATCCCTGTTGCAGCCTTGAGTCTTGCTGCAGTTGTTCACACACCTGCTCTATTTGCTCATTGATATTACCTAAATAGCTGTTCTCCACATCCTGCAAGAAAAGACAAGATATCTTTATATTGAGACGAGAGCATAAATTAAAATAATGAAGTGAAAAATATTATATTGTATGTGATTTTAAGGTAAAAGTAAAATAAATAAAATTGTAAACATATTCTTTATATAAACATATTTCATCTACCGCAATAAAATAAAAAAGGAATTGAACATAAAAAGTGAGCAGATAGTATAATAGAGAGAATATATAAAATAGCAATAGCAAAAAATATCAAATAGAGAAGTTAAATATTTTTCTGAGTTTATTTTCATAATAAGTTGTTTTATAATGATGTCCTACCTGTGTAATATCATTTCCAATACGTATAGATTTCACATAAACCTTTGGTATTTCATCTTCCAAAAAGTGTTTTATTCTTCCAAGACTAAAAGAGAAGCAACAGCTATCACCTGCAAGGAAATATAGTTTTATTATTATAGTAAAATATATATTATGCTCAATAAACCAAACAATAGAAGACTGGAAATTATATATCGATTAATTATTAAAAATGATATTCTATGTTACAAGAAAAACACATTTCAAATTCTATATTCAACAAAGTTCAATGATATCTAACAACATTATCTGATTTACGATAAATTTAATGTCTTAAGTTATCTCTAAGATGATAAATAAATAACGAATAAAGTATTTCTGTGAATGCTAAATGTAAAACACTTAACGCAAGTATCCATCCTACAAGTTAATAATGTTTAACTATTATGCTATATAATCATGGATAAAAAAACATTCCATTCATAACTCATTTCATCTGTAAGTGGTAATGGATCTAATCACAATGCTCATATATTAAGGAGAAGCGTTAATAAGCATAGATAAAATTTTCTCTCTGGTAAACTTAATTATCTCAAAATAGATACAGCTGTTTCTCATAACAAGATTAAGTATAATTAATTCCACAGCAGTATATATGTATATATGTATAGGGGAAAGTTAAAAACTATTGCAGCGCACAATAAGAAAGAGAAAAGAAAAACTATCGCGATTAGTTAAACTCTGACGTTGCTGATATGTAAATCAGATGATCATCACGACATTGTTTTACATTTAATTCGGTTATATTAGAAGGGAGAATAGAACAAGAAAAAGAGAAGGACAATATAATGTGAGAAAATATAGAAAGTGAATGTTGTAGGAAAGCAGATCCAATGCGGTCCAAATAATCGTAATGTGATAAGACTCACCCATCCCGTGCCACAGCACTATCGGCACCGGTAAAGCTGTGGCATTTTTTTCCTTTTGTAAACAATGACTGGTATTCGCGAGATGAAACAACACGACGATGAAAAGGCAGACACGCTGCGTCACCCACTTTTGCATGACGCGATCCATGTCGATTGTCCGATATCGTTGATATCCCTACAGCTAACTGAACCGTCGCAATACTTTTACACACTGTTAATCATCGCGAAATGCAACGGAGTGTTAATACGCAACATGACACCGTTGACCGAAACACATATACACTTTATTTGAATGTATCATATGTTTATCGGCAACAGCGTGCCACGCGGTCACAATGGGAAATACTTCAAAGTGTCACGCTCCATCGGCAATACAGGTTCCGCTTGCGTGCGCACGTGGCTATAAGCATAGACTTGTTTTCCGGTGAAAATTATGTGTTATTGTTATTCTTAATTAAGGCTTTGGCGTGGTGTTTAATCCTATAAATAAAACTGTGACGCTTTATATGTAGGTCAAGCCAGCAGAAAATTAAAAACACAAGTAAATACGGGTAAAAACGAGCAAAGAAGACACATTGCTCACAACAAAGATCGGCCATTATAGATCATAGACTTTTGTTTGATAACGACATGAATTTGGACATGGTTAATTATTGAAAATTGATTATTAAAAAGGGCTAGTAAATAGCCGAAACGCTTGATACATTGTCATGCTTTTAATAATAAATAATAAGTACATGAAAATAATAATAATACATAAAAAATTTAATAATATTTAATAATAAATACATGAAAAAATCACAATACCGATTAAATATTCTCAAAAGTGCACACATACAATTTTCTTTAACTTCTCAGAACTGATCTAAATAATAATCGTTTAAGAATTAAGGGATTTGTATGTATTATCGTGGCGAATAACCGAACGTGAAACCGTTCCAACTTTGATTTCAACGGAGCTTGAAGGAAGTCTAACGCAATAAATAATAATTCGTGCGCGATTTCATCCTGTAACTGTCATTACGCAATAACGATGTAATCAACAGATATAACATTACGCATACGTAAGATATTGAAAAACTCGGTCAACCTCGGTTCCGCAATTGCGTAAAAAGTTTGTGGAACCGAGTGCGACTCGGTCACGCTTGCGACTTGTAGAACAGAGAAAAAAGTTTCTTTGGATGTAGTGTTTCTATTCTAATCGACTAAAATCTGATTCACAGAAACAACATATACAAAATATTTGTTTGAATAGAAATTTTGTCGTCTCATTCGAGAAAACTCTATTAATTGACATAAGGAACGCTAATTATTTGAAATAATATCTTTCAGCCAAATAAAATATTATTTGGTCACAACAAAAATATGTAAAATTCATTCGATAAGCAAATCATTCCTTTATAAGAAAATTGTCCTTCGTTTCGAGCGAATTTTTTATTTAAGATAAAGATACATATTCGTTGAAAAGCCTAACAATCATATTTATTAATCGGCGGGGTTAGTTTTTCTGGAGCATGCCAATGATGAGATTCGTTTGGATGCGATAAAATTGATTAAAATCTGGGGAAATCTTTTTCTCGGTGTACGCCGCGTACCTCGTCTCGCCGATCCCCTCACGTTCTTACGTGCGATTCCGAATCGCGTGGCTCATTACGGACCACCGACGTGAAAGCGCATCGCATCGCCGTTGTTATTTCCGCGCATTAGCGAATGCCATTCGGCATTCCTCGCGGTTGGCAGCGGCGGGTTTGCTGGAAGGAGCGTCGGATCCATCGAGGCTCCAGGAGGGTTGCGTCGTTCGTTTAGCAGGCAGAAGGGTAACGGGGCGAGCGAGGGAGACAGGGTAGGAGGACCGGAGGCGAACCAGTGGCCGTTTTGTTTAGCGAATCGCCACGATATCCGGAACACAATGCGCGATATCCGAGCCGCTTGTTCCGGGATACATTGTTTCCGTTCTTCGGCGTTCCGGCCGCGTATGGAAATGCAGTAATCACTTAAAGCGGATCTGTGCCGGCGACCATCATCGGCGCAACGAGCGGAGAGAAGGCACCGGGCATTGTGTGTGCAATCTCATCGGAAGTCGCGACCACAGCGCGTGCACGCAGCTCTCTTCTCTTCGTACGGTTGGCTGATCGCTCTTCTTCAGAATCTCCGATGAAATCGTCTTATCTTATTTTCCTCCCGAGGTCAGCTCTCGAAATCGAATTGGAACTTGATATATAATATCAAATTAAATGCTTAATAATATTAAATTAAATCAATAATATATCAAATTAAAGTCATATGTATGTTAAAATTTAATAATTTTTTATCAGGATAGTTAACTTTGGGAAGTAACGATATCTCAAATTGGGCTTTCGGAATTTCAATCGGAGATATGTAATTCCTGGTTTCGCATTAGACACGCGATAGCAGAGCAGAAACGTGTAAAGGAGGGCTAAGAACAAAAGGCGATTTTCGTGAGAGTCGGAAATAGGCGCATCCGATATCGTAACGGATGCTGCAGCGAGCGGAAAGAGAGGCGAATAAAGGAAATATTAGGAGTGAGTTTGCGCGAAGGAAAAGGGGAAGGAAGGAAGAGAGAAAGAGAGAGAGAGAGAGAAAGAGTAGCGAAGAGAGACGAAGGGAGGATCGATCGAGGAGATGACGGGGAGGGAGATCGACATATTAAATAGATGGGCAACGACTGCGAGTGCCCGCCAGCCCAATGAGAGGTAAATTAAGCGGAAGTCTTCCTGGCTAAGACGGGACGGTTGAGGAGTCCCTCGCGCAGGAAATTTAACGCCTGCTCTTCGCGCCGCGCGGTCGCTCGTGAATTTCTGAGACCAATCTATCGTCTGTCTTTCTAATAAAAAAAGAAAACGGCTCCGCGCGAAGAAGAAATCCTTTATCGCGTGTTATCCTTTATATTTCCACGGTTACTTTCCACTGAACGCGATCGTGAAGTATCGCCGAAACCTTGGAAGTTTACGTGAAACCCGTCTCGATCTTTTGAGAGAAAGAAATAAAAGTCAGACGTTTCAATATACACCGGTGGACAACGATTCGTCCCCCACAGATCTAGTGATGCTAGAAAGATGTCTGTCTCTTTCCGACTTGTTCTGACTAGGAAAATATTCACGTAAAGATCGTATCAGACTAGCGAAAAAAATTTGAACTAGCGAGAAACGTTACCGGACGTCGCTGAAAATTACTGAGATTCAAGCGTTGTTACGATTTCTCGCGAGAAGAACTACTTTCTAACAATTACATTAAACCTTATCGCTCAAAGCTAAAGGCTTACTACACTTATCGTAGATCTGAACTTAATCTCCGATATTAGCCTGATCCTTTATGTGATGACTCTTTCAGACAAAACGGGATAAGCGTCCCTTAGATTCGCTCCGTTAGACTTAGGAGGCGGAGAGGAGGGGACGAGTCATTGCCCACGGGTGTACATATCTACGTCACCCTGCTTCCGTTAAACGAGCGCCCGCGACTCAACCCTTCGCAGAAGCCACCCCAGCGGTACCATCGTCACCTCCTCCGCCCAGGCACGCGAGAGAAAACTCACGGTTCCCGAAATAAGAAAGAACTTCCTCTGGAAGAGATTAACGGGAATTAACGGCGGAAGATCCAAAGATCGTCCGGACACTGCGAGACGGAGGAATTCACCCCTTCGTGTCCGCGCGTCAGTGGCGGTACTCTGCGACGCGCGTTGCTATCCCTTTACCCTCCGCAACTCTTCTCCGCTCAGTCCCTCTCTCTCTCTCTCTTTCCCTCTCTTTCTCTCTCTCTCCACGTCGTCACCCCGCTCTCTGCCTCCACCCGCGGCGTAATGAATCCAGTTTGTCGAACTCCACCGCCTTCTACGGCGCACCGCCAGGGAGATTTTCCCCCGACCTATCCATCCCTAACCATCTATCCATCCATCCGTCCGTTCCAACCATTCCGTCCGTCCGTCCATCCGTTCGCCGGTAACTGCAGCACGCGAACCACTGTGCTTTTCGGTGCCACCCCTCTCCCCCCCTCGCAACAGCGGCCAACCCGCGCGCAGTCATTTCGCATCTCTCCGCCGAGGCATCCCCTCGTCCCCCGTTCTTCCTCGCCCCGCGCGCGCACCGCCCGATGCCCGTAATTACATCGAGTTCCCTTGACGATGGGGGGGAAAACGGGAGGGAGGGGGGACAGGGTAGAGGTTCTAATTAATCAGCTAGCCGCCACCGCGCGCGAATCGTTCTCGGCACACGCGCTGCGGCACGCCTATAGGTTGACCGTCGACCAAAGCACTGTGGTCCCCTTCGCGGAGGGGACTCCTCTCTCCCGCCCCCCCCCCCCCCCCCNCCCCCGAGCCGGTGTTGTTAACCCGTTAGTTAGTTAGTCGCGTTCAACTCGCGTGGCGTAATTAGTCGCGCGGGCTCATGATGCACGACCTCGTTACCCGTCACTCGCTATTGTGCAATTTGCCGTCGAATTAGAAGCTAATGGTCTTGTAGCGAATTCGGTCATCTGCACTACGCCGGATCAGTGCGTATTAAAAACCGCTGCATATAAAGTATTCGGACGCAATGGCATAACTGGGGTTGGATGAATTAACTTTTTTTTTTCTTAAGTTAAAAGTTAGTGGCCTGTACAATTAATTTAGTTAAATTAAAAGTTACCTAAACAAAAGCTAACTAATTAAAAGTTATAAATAAAAAAAAAATATATATATATATATAATTTAGAAAGAAAATAGGTTAGATTTATATATATAGTTTTGCATAATTAACTTTTAACTTTTAAGTTAACTTACCCAACTCGGGACGTAACATAAGCACTTTAACGATGAAATAATTAATGTATATTCTCATGGGTATAGGGGATTTCAATCTCTGAAGGAGGAAGGGGAGCAAAAATTTATTTTCTACAAATTTTTCGAAAAGTCTTTGAGGTCTCCATGCGCGCATCTGAAATTAGGTCCTGCCTGCGTAACTGAAATACGCCAAAACTATTGCAGGCAATGCAAATACTGACGTCCGGAGATGAAATTGAGAAATGTTCATTATATTCATCTTCATAAAACACTGCTAATACTCCGTCATTAGTTTATTAATTACAGAACGTATAGCTTTTTTATAGAGTGTAATGTATAATTTACGTGTTACATTTCTTTACGTTAAAGAAAAAGTTAAAGCATCAAGAATCGCCGCGAAAAGTATCACGAAGAAAGAAAGTAATTCTTCAATATATTTTTAATGCTACAAATATAAAAATTACATAAATATTGCTAAAAATTTGGCAGCCATGATACTGGTTCAATTATTAAATTATTCGACTCTGCTATGCAGCTGTGTCGACTTATGTCACGTTATGTCGTCATAGAAAGTCACTTACAAGGACTGCTTGTTACAACTGTGTTTACAGCTGTTTCAACTGCGTCTCTTGTTGGGAAGCTTCTCACGGTAACGTCAAAACGACGAGAAAATGACTATAGTGACTCACATTTCGATCATTTCTCATCACTTCGACATCATTTTGGCGTCATTTCCTACCTGGATAAGTTCCTCCAGACGAGGGTCTTTTGTGCGACCCGATATTTTTTTCATCGGTAATAATATCTCCGCGTGGTGGAGCGTTCTCGTTCGCGAATATCGTTTACCAGACCGGGCCGGAATTCAAAACCGGGACGCGCAACGAGGGGTTAATCGGCTCATCGCTCGCCGCGGAACGGGGAAAATCGACGTTCTTTGTTGCCGCTTTGTTCCCGGGCGGCCTTTCAACGCCGGGCGGATCTTCATCGGCCCGCCGGGGATGAGCGAGAGAGGGAGAGGGGACTTCGGGCAACACTGGTCGGGCAATAATTACTCGCCGGAAACCACTAACCTGAGAATACACAGGACCGGAGGTCTCACCACTGCGGCCGCAGCTGCGGTGATGTCGCGCTAATGAATCTATTTTGCCGATTCTCCATATCGGCTCTTTCTCCCGTCACTTCATCCCCCGCCGCCCTGTCCCGCTCTTCTCTGCCGCTGCCGCCGCGGGTATCCTGTTCGCCGATCGGAAGAAAAATATCGACGCGTTTCGTCGATATCGATGCGGACAAATATGCGGTCTTCTATATGCCGTGGCCGCCGATGTGATGGATAACAAGGCAGCCGATAATATGAAAATTACAACGAAAATTCGACGCGATTTAATAACCGTTGTTGCATTTTTTTTATTACTCGTGCGACACCTATCGGCGACGTATCGGCGACTCTTGCTTCTCGCTTCTTGTCGGCTGAGTAAAGGTAACCGATTGATCAACTACCGGTGACTTTATCAACGGGGAAAAATTGGCGGCAAATCCTATCCCTGATTTATCGGGCGGAAGTGGCGGGTGTTGTGTCAACACCTTCGAGCGTCCTGTGCTCGCTGCCAGATAAACCGTCAAAGTCGTTTTACGTGTACATCTCTCGATCTGATATGAACAGTGATTACTATTCCACCATATATGCTTGGTAAGCGCATAAACAACGTGCACGCAATATCATGTTTGATTACAACGTAAGGAAATATTCAAGGTTAACTGGATGTCAATTTTCTTCGCAGTATTTAAATTTAACGGCATTCAAAGTTAACAATATTTCCCGCACAACACCTGTGTATACAATTCATCATTTATAGTTTTCGTTTTCACTTTGTATTTGTAAATTATTTCTTATATTTCTGTTTGTAATACCAACGCATTGTGGTTTCATCAGGTTTGAGAGATGCGGGATCATATCAAATATCAGGACACACCTACGCCAGAACTTGGTGAACGCTCTGAAGGGTAAGGATTTGGGCCTATGCCAGAGCAAGGAGGCAAGATCGGCGAAACAGTACGTTCACGATATGTTAATAGCCGAGTACCTGTTTAGTCACAATTACTCCTTCACCTTGTCGATATTTGCTAGCGAGGTTCCGCTTTTAGTAAACTTTTGCAACAGCATGCCAAAGCGCTCTGGCGACAATGACAGAGGCAATGGTAGCAGGCTTAAGTTGCAGAGTGATTACATAGAGCATACCCTGGAAACACTGGGCATCGATCCAAAGAAGCCCGAGGCCCAGGGTATCATATCGAGTTACCTGAACAGCGAGGCACCTCTGCTGTTATCTATCCTAAACTGTATAAACTCTCTTATGGTCGGCGCTCAGTCTTCGGTCAGAGAAGGTCCTCTGTATGACAAGGAGACGCAAGCTAATTTAGCTCTGGAGGCAGACATAGGTGCAAGGAGAGTGCAAACAATGAGGAGAAAAATTATGCGACAGAAACAATTGTACGATGACGAATTGAGGATGAAGGAGAACAAACTGACACAGCAAGCCTCCATCATAAAACATCAGCTTGGTTCTCTGAATGCAAAATTGAAAGAAGCTCAGGTGACACATCCAATTGTACATATTTTTAGATATATATTATTTATATGTATTTTTAGATCCCACTTTTTTTTTTTAAATTATAATACGGGTGTTCCATTTTAATGGAAACAGTGAAATATCTTGAAAACGAAGCAATTGAAAAAGTAGTTCAGACGAAAGTTATAGGATTTGAAGAGGGGTATAAAGTGGTGACCTTAACTTCGTTGATATTCTGATGTTTTTCAGTATAAAATGTAAAATGTCGCATAAAGTATTCATTTAAAAAAAAACAAAGTTGACCTTAAAATAATTCTCTGACCTTGATCCAAGGTCAAATGAAGATCACCATCAGATGATCCCCTCAACCGACCGAATAACTTTTGTCTGAACTTATTTTTTATTCCTACCTTACTCCTACTAAGATAAAACATGTGATAGATTAAAATAGAAGGCTCAGTATAATTCCCGTTTATTTATTTAGGATTTAATGCAATCTTTGACGCTCAAAGAGAAGCAGTTGAATGAGAAGGAAGACAATGAGGCGCGAAATATTTTGCAGAGGGAAATGGAGCTGTCTATGAAACAGAACTTTTTAACACAAGAAGCCAACAGGTATTCGTTACTATTTAAGAAGACTAATCTTTGTAATTGACGAAAATACTCATAGTTATCAAATGTTGATTGATAATTAACATTTACGTGATCCCGATTGGAATCTCTTTCCGCGTATATCAAAACTCCAGGCTGACTGGAATATTATATTTTTAGACTGCAGAAAGAACGAGATAGTTACAGGAAATTCGAAGGCGATCTGAAGAAGCTCCAACGGGAGCTGGTGAAGATGCAGAAGGAAATGTCGCAAGGCGCGCCGAGTCAGAACTGCCAAGCAACGGATGTCAGGAACATTCACGTGCAGACCGAGAGCCGTGCGTTGATGGACGAGTGCAAGGCACTGCAGAGAGAGAAAGTCGAGCTGTCGAATCTCGTGCAGGAGCAACGCACCAGGATAGAGCAGATCACTATGCGAAGCGTACAGCTGTCGCGTCAGCTGGAAGAAGTGCGTTCGTTGCGATCGGTCGTCGGCGTCGAAGCGCCGGTGGTTTCCGTCAGCGCGAACGCGATCGTCGTCAGCGAGAGCAGTTCCACGGAGGATATCCTGCAGGACGCGAAAATGAGGCTGAAACGCTTGGAAGAGGAGAGTTCGAAGGCCGATCAGTATTTCTGCAGTTTCGTCAGCGCTTCTTCGTAGCCAATAAGATATCCGATGAAGAGACATCGTTCGCCGAATTCGTTCATCCATTTACGTGTCGTATCACCGTATTATTACGATTAACGTCGCATGACGTACACCATGCACGCATATACACACACATACACACACATCGTCCAGAAGAGTCGTGACTCTCCTCCGTCCTCCTGCGTTAAAGAGGAAAAGAAAGACTGAGTTGAAACGAGCGTAAAAAAAAACCAACTTTGTCAATGATCGGACAATTAGATAGTTTATTTTATAAAATTGGATGTTAACTTAATATACAAATTATCCACTATTTCTTCTTGCTTTATTTCGAATTCTACGATCATTACATGCAACACCAAACATAGCATAGAAAATGTTAAGTCGAGGTCTTCTCCGTTGTTGTACATCATCTCCGTTTCGGGTCTGAACTCCTCCTGGTGCACTTAAGTTAAGGATTATATTTAACATTTGCAATGCAGATGTCAGAACGTCTCAAATCAATGCGCATCATCGTTGTTTATCGTAACCGTCAAGGACAGCGGGAATATTTTCACACCACAGCGCCGTTGCGCTCGATGTTTATAATAAAAGTATGAAAAAGGATATTGTTTATCACGGCTCTCGCGGCCTTCGCGTTCATGAGGACGATCCTTTGCGTATGGAGACTTTTCCTGAAAATAGATTCTTGAATGAATCTGCCGTACGCCACGATTTCTTGTGGCTGACATTGGGTACTTGAGACTGTCACCTATACTTTCTTGTTTTTGCTATTGCCGTCCATTTCGTCCCTTTAACGTACTCGAAGTAGACGTCTTTATCAACTATGAAGTCAAGTAATAGAAAGTTGTTAAGAAAATAATAATCTGGATTCTCCTTTTATGAAAGAAGCCAGCTAATTAGAAAAATCTACAGAAAACAACAAAAATAAAGGAAGACTGCATTTCCTACGTAAGAAATATTGCAATATACACGATGTAATACGTTCTTTTTTTATCGAAGTATTTTTCAAGTACAAAATCGGAAGCACGCGCATTTTGCCAAGGGTATAGGACTGTGAATAGAATTCAAACAGTATTCTATGTATATTTCAGAGAAGAGTATAGTTCCCACAAAATGTGTGCATCAGACTGCGCTTTACAATATCATTTCGTCATCGATCTAATCGCACTGGACACTTCTTAAAATTTTAAGTGTTTCTCGTGCTCTGCGAACGTGTGAGCCCTAAAAAGTTTCGTAACCAACTTGAAAAAACATTGTATATTAAAAAGAAATTGAGATATGTAAGAAAAATCTATAATTTGTTAGCGACTCAGAACATTTTGTGATACAGTAGAAATAAGTAACAGTAAACTGTCACTTATTGTACCTGAGATCAATTATATAGAATATGAAAGAATTAGTGAAACTAAGTAATAGAAAAAAAAAAACTACACCTCTATTGAAAACTTTCAATCGTGTTGTTACGACGTTATTAAAACGAAATGTTAATTAATACTACCAACCTTACTATAATGATGTTTCTCTCTGTGCTCAGGAATGTCGCCGTTCTGATGTGTCCCTTTGGCTGAGAAACATATTCATTTTTTAATATCTATTGCGAGTGCTTTCTGTACAATTGCTATGCGCGAAAGGTCAATTCGTGCATATTAATTTTTTTTATACTAAGAAACAAGTAATTACGGACCTCTTTCATCATCCTTTCTTCGTTTTTGCTCGGTAGTCGTCACGGTTTCTTCTGTCCGATCCTACGGAAGAAAAAAATTGTATAAGAATCGTACGATTCTCCGAATTATATATATCTCTTTGTATAAGAATTACGCATATTACTCTTTTTCGTCCCTGTTTCTTTTCCCTGCGGAGCTCTTTCTGTTCGTCACGCGTTTTCCCTTTGCTGGAGCGTTCTTTCTTGTCAAGGACAGCTTCCACGCGTCTTACTTCCTGCTGCATGTACAAATATATATTTATTTACAAGGAGATATTAAAAAAAAAGCTAAAATTTATAATGTAGATACAATCACCTTTGGAGTGCTCTCCACTTTTCTTCTTTTTGCATCTGAAATTAAATATAAAAAAATGTACACATTATTATTATATTATTTATATTAATATATAAGAGATGTTTAAAATATCTTCTTAAATAATGTAGAATACCCCCAACTGCAGTTCTAAGATATTTCATACATATACAGGGTGTAGAACGGATTGAGGTGAACAAAGAAGTCCCATACTATTTTGAGGTATTCATAATAATTATTAATTATTGCGAATATCGTAAAACGGTATGGGATTTTTTGTTCGCCTTAATCCGTTTTACGCCTTCACGAATGTTGGCACTACTGCCAGGACATCCTGAAGATATCAAGGATCCAGGATATCAAGAGAAATAGACAATAGATGTGTTCATATATTCATAGCCACTGCTGAAAATCTACAGTTCGTATCACGTATACTATAGATTTTTAGTACTGACAAATATATGAACACAACCAATGTTACAACTATAGTTACAACACTAACCTCTCTCAAGTCCTTCTTGTGTCGGTCCCGAACTGGCACTACTGTTTGACACACTAGAAAGATCTCGATCTAAATTGTCTACACCACTGCTGTAATAGTGCTCTTCCTGAAATTGTGAAATTTACAATACATAAAACTGGAAGAAAATTAAAGTACTCGCTATAATTATCCTTCTTTGATGATGTTAGAAGCGAGAAATCGTATGCCAAAATATATTACGCCACATGTAGAGATGAAAGAATATATACACAAAATAACATTCGATTTAGCACACTTGTAAAAATATCCGGATGCTTTCCTTTAACCTGAATAATAAATAAATAGTCATAAGATTAATGTAACAGAAATCACGAAAAAAGATAAGTTAAAAACGTAAATTTCATGTTGTACAAATTTTCGGCTATTTATTGATTGTTGAGGTTGAAAGAAAGCCTCCGGACATTTTAGCCATAGCGAGTACCCAGGGGTCTTAAATTGCAAATCTTGACTACATAAAACAGTTAATAAGGCACTAACAATAATAAGTATAAATTTATGAAAACATACGAGTAAACCTATGAGTATATAAAAAGACTTATAAATATTTAAGCATTAAAGAATATTCTTTAATATTTATAGGTAATGTAAACATCTAATGTTTAATTATTTTTAACCTAAAAGTTAAAGCATGTGATTTCAATTTTCACAACCTCTTCATAATCTATGAAAATCACTTTCTCATGTATTGATGCAATATCTACCTTGTAGTATTTGCGTTCCTTCTTATCCAATCCCTCATCCTCTTTCACTTCTTCTTTTTTTATATATTTCTCCTTCACTTCTGAAACGTCTTTGTTATCTTCTTTCTTTCTGAGCTTCTCGGTGTTTTCACTGTTCAAAAAACTAATGTTAGAATGTATAGTAAATAATTAGATTTAAAAAATTGTCTCAATTACAAGTTAACACAATAATTCTAAACTAATTCTATTTAAATCTGTAAGATTTTCTCAAAATACATTTAGATTCTACAGCTGTAAAAGAATTTATGATTAAGATATTTTTTCACATAACTTTTGCACACACACACACACACGCGCGCGCGCGCGCGTATATAGATATATACACAATATACGTATATAGATATTATATACTTACTGATGTGTTGGGTTAGATGAATTCCGCTTTTCTCGTTGCTCTTTATTTTCTTTCTCCGGCCGGTTATCTCCGTTATTGATCTCTTTGACCGCCATTCCGTTACTGACTTTTTCGTTTGTATCGTTATTTGCAGTGTCTTGTGTCTTTCCGGCCTACACAAATGAAAGTAGCGATTCAAATGCTTGCTCTGTAGTGTAATTTTTCGAAATTGCATAATTATGACGCATGTGAAAAAAGATTCAGAAAAAATATAACTTTATTTCTCTTGAAACAACATAAAATGCAATATCAAAGTTCTCAGTCATGGAAAAAGAAAAAAACAAGGAATGACCAAAACTGATTATGTATAACAAAATAAAACGTGATTTGCAAAAACAAAATTAATTCTGTCGCGGTGTTCGCGTTTTATCGCCGTTAAATAAATGCTAATAAATGCCAATAAATGCTGCAGTTAAATTTTCAGTGTCTTAATACACATTTTAGAGCCGCCAAACCTTGTCGCCCACGTGATGAAAATCTGACTCGCGTATCATACTGGGAGTTTTGGCCTTCAATTGCCCACTGTACGACGTAGCTAGGACGTGCAGATCCTGACGCTGGCCACGTTCTTCCTCTCTCACCTTCTCTACCTTTCGTTCCAAGATCTGAGAAAGTTTGGCCAAGACAGGAAAGTGCGGCAATATCTTAATCAATATTATTAATGAATTCCTGATCTGCACGTAATCCTTTGAATCGAGGCATACTACAATGGCCTATTTAAAAGAAACAAATATCATTATAGAAGTGTTACTCATTGTCAGTATGGAAGTAACTTTTTATATTTTTAAGACAACACGTCGCATAGACATTCAAGATCGCATAAAGTACCTTTGTGATTTTGTAATGCCACTTGTGACACACATGTCTGTAATTTTCAAACCCGACCATGTCATTCGCTTCAGAAAATTGATTGCTCACGCGGAACTTTGTCACGAATCCCGGATAATTACTGCATTCCTACGGGGCAAAATACAAAAAATAATAATATGCTGATCAATAGGTTATTACATATTGAAATCAATGTTCGTGCAAATTACGAGAATTTCTTTCTGAAAGTCACTTTTCATTTGTGAAATTTTTGGATCTATAATTGTTATTACCTTATCGAATATGGCTTTCTCGGAATGCCACCTCATCACAGTCTCCAACATGGCGCACAAAAATCTGCCATATCGATTCGCTTCGTTCTCTGTGCACGAGGTGACTGAATATGTAATATCACAGAAAAGCTGGAAATATCAGAAACATAAAAATGATAAGGTATGAAGAACTGTTTAAAAGTTGAAGAGATATTATAGATCGATATACAAATTCACTTGTTTATCAGATCAATACCTCAATTACTTGTTAACAGGATTGGGTAAGTTAATTTTTAACCAAGTTAAAGGTTAACAAAACAAAACTAAACAAAACCAAATTAAGAATTGGAAGTAATTAATTTTTTTAACTTGACTCTTAACCGATTAACTTAGTTATTACCCAATTCTGCCAATTAAACATATGATTATCGATAGATCAATGTTGCATGAACGAATGGCGAGATATCTTACACGATCGTAGCAAAGCAAGGTTGAAAAGTTCGCAGTCTTCAGGGAGTGGATGGTATGTACAAATTTCGCACAGTACATGGCGTCCACAGTCGTGAATGTACATCTTGGGAATAGGCATAACTGTAGAAACTGTGTTATCGTCTCGTTCTTTGCAGATTTGGCGCTTCGCGACAAGAACCATGTGTCCTTTTCCTGTCTGTGTATTAGTGAAAGAATCGTTAGAACTATTGAGAGAGAAAGAGAGAGATATCCGGGAGAAGGGATCTTATTAATTTCGTAAACCATCAAGAATACCCCGAGTCGAAAACGATCTTCGAAATATTACGAAAGATTCTATCAATTCGCCACTTTACCTCAGATACGCGAAGACTTTCTCAACGTGCTCTTCTTGTTTCCTCTTTTCCTCTTGTAGTTTCTCGATAAGAGTGGTGTACCTCTCTTGCTCCTTCTTCCCTTTACTCACGTTCTACCAACGAAAAGTTAGAGTTAGAATTAATATGATAACCAACGCGCCGAGTGTCTTCGCTTACCAAATCTTTGGAATCGGTGGTTTGAGTCGATAATTGCTTCAATTTGCCAATTTCCCTCTGATAACTTTCAACCGGCACGTACAGATCGTACATCGACAAGGACCAAAATGTGACCAAGAATTGCGGCGATATGTCCTCCCACACTTTCAGGGGGTGCAACGGTCTTACTGATTGAGCGACAGGTGCCATAACGGCCTGCGCGGCCTCTGCATACTTCAATTGCTTCATGGCCGTGGACATTTTCTTGTAATTAGGATCGGCTTTACGAAGAGAGTCGTACTTTGTCTACGAGCATATGAAATCGAATTTTAAGAACTAAACCACGGAAACAGATTGACATATCCAATTCTGAATAATCGAATCGAACGAGTTTACAGCAAAGAGTCTGTAAGAGAGAGTGGCCTCTAAAATCAAAAGTCTCCGAGATATAATTGGAAAGGAAACTGATTCGCTCGAAATCGGTGATTTTTGCAAAAGCGGCATCATTCGCACACGAGCATCGGTACCGGTAAATTCGGACATGCGTGTAAACATTCGACTAACATTTATGGCGTGTGCGAACATCGGTCTCGCCAGGAAAAATGCGACATCCGAGTGTATATGATTGTCCTGGAGCATAGAGTGAATCGAGGGTAGTCGTCTCACATACTCGTCCACAGTCATAGTAGATCCCAAAAACGTTCCGAATTGCACCAGCGTGTCTTGGCACTGGTCGTACAGTTTACCTGTAGCAACAAGATAAGACCGTCAGAGGGAAACGTCGACAAGCGAGGAGACAAAATATCGTTATCTCGATTCCGCGTATTTCCGTAGTATTTACCAACAAGCTTGAGGTGAGATTTGTCGGTCTCTCTGTAGACAACACAATGTTTCTGTTGAGCCATTAACAGGCATAAAGCGACTGCGAGATCATGCTCGGCGAGAGCATCCTTCAAACGCATCGAAGATTTCTTCGTGTTGCGGACCTGGCTGAAGTAACCGGCCTTGAAAGAATAGGGTTTTTCACGCATTAGTCGATCTGTGTAATTATTGCGTTTAACATACACACATACAGAAAAATATATATTGCATACAAGTTAGACCGATGGTAGAAAACTAAACGCTTACGTCTATCGTGGACTACGATAAAGCAAGGCAGAGAAAAACGTAAACATAAATGACGTCTGGTTATACGAATCGCATAAAAGAAAGAAAAAAAAAACAAACTGAGCAATCGCTCAGCAGTAGAATGATATTTTTGGTGGTGTACGATCGTACGATGACACTGACTTACCTCGTTCTTCAATAAATCCCCACCTGCCATTGCATCTAATTGATCAGACGTCATTTCTTCAGCTGCTTCAATCCCAGCCATTTTTTGTACTATCTCTTTTAATATTAGTAGATCTAAGCTGTAAGTGGCGAGAGAGAGAGAAAGACTAGAGTAGCACGTGCAATTATATGTTAACGATTTAACGATCAAAACGATTATTATATAATATATTAGGGGGACCGGAAAGTAATGTCGTTTTTTCACATTAAATTCAAACAGATAAATTTTTAACAAGTTTTAATTTTTAAACAATGATGTAATCACTCTCGTTATCAACAACCTTTTGCCATCTAATATGCAAATTTTCAATGCCAGATCGATAAGATTCAATTGGATTTTGAGCAAAATATCTGGGGAGGGCATTTTGGATATCATCTAAATTTTCAAATTTTTTGTCACGTAGAAAGTGTTGTAGCGATCGGAATAAATGGAAATCCGATGGTGAAATATCGGGCGAGTATGGTGGGTGAGGCAGTACCTCCCACCCCAATTAATTAATTTTTTC